CGGCGGCTCATGGGCTGGGGACCAGCCGCAGCATCAGCACAGCTGTGCATCAAGGACAACAGGCAGCTCACCCGGTGCTCCAGCTGTGGTTTTGACAGAATACAGGACACTTAGGGGATAAATGAATATGCTGACAGAGACAGGAGAGACAAGACTTGGGAAACATGAGGTGTTTCCAGGTTAACCTAATCCATTGCTTGCATGGTCCCAGTCCCAATCATTTCTTCTGCAATATCGCACATTTAAATAAGTATTCTGTTTTGTTTAAAATGTCCAAAGGCATTTTACAACAATGTAAAATGTTGTAAAAACAAATTACAACAGCAGCCTGGCAAGAGAAATAATAATCAACTTATCAACTTTTTATCATGAAGGAGACACAAGGGAGCTTTGTTAACACTGATGTTGCTGTGTCAGAAATGAAGAATGGGTTTAGAAAGAGACTTGAGACTCCCACTTCTGGGCTCATTGCATGATCAGATCTGATCTGATCAGCCTCCTAATCCCCATAACCCCAGGGGAGGGGTGGCAGTTAATTCACAGTATTACCTTGCATTTGGCAGAGGGGCTATTTCACTCTCAGAACATACAGTTTCTATAGGGGAAGGGAATGAAGAGAAGAAACAGCAGAGCCCTCTTATCTAGAGAGGTGCCCAGATGGTGACCATGTGCAACAGATGGGAAGTGAGAGATTCCAGCAAACTCCTGAGACAAGGTGCTTTACGGATTTAGAGCACCTCCTCTGTGAAGGCAGCTTCATGGCCAGTCCTGGCAACAAACAGCAGCAGTGTGCCAGCCTAATTAATTACTGGTTTAAGAGTCCAAAGGGCTAGAATCCATTTTAAGATGTTCCTAAGGAGAAGACTCCAAAAAACAATGATGAGACAGTTTATTTTTATTCGCTCACTGGTGACTTTGATAGCGCAATTTGGACAGCTGCCAAGTGAGAAGGGTGGTCAGGGAAGATGTTCCTAACACATTGTCAAGGGTTAAGGCTGGGCCAGTCACTAAACACTGACAGATGCTCTCTAACCCCTCTCCCTCCCCAGACAGCAAGGGAAAGA